GGTTCAAGTGATTCTCCTGCCTCAGCCTCCCAAGTAGCTGGGATTACAGGCATGCGCCACCAGGCCCAGCTAACTTTGTATTTTTACTAGAGATGGGGTTTCACCGTGTTGGTCAGGCTGGTCTCGAACTCCTGACCTCAAGTGATCCACCCACCTCAGCCTCCCAAAGTGCTGAGATTACAGGCGTGAGCCACCGTGCCCAGCCAAGAAAGTTTTTGCTTTCTATCAGGTGTACTGTATTCTTATACAACTAATAATATGTGCCAGAAATGCAACAGGCAAGGTTGTAAATCTCATTCTCACCTAAAATAAAGCCTCAGCCAGGACTTGATTACTCCATCCATTGGATTTTTAAGGCTCCACCCATCAGAAGACTCAGATCAACAGCATTGTTCTTTTTATTTCTTCCCAGAATGTTTGATTTGGACTCCTAGCTTCTTCATCAACTCAGAGGGAGAAACACCTCTCACAGGATCCAGTGACACCCATGGCCTTCACTCAGACCAGAACCAGGACACCACCAGTGACAGCAAACATGCATCGACACGCACAGAACAGTTCATCACTGCTGCACTAGATGGGAAAGGGAAACACTTCTGTCATCAGAAGTAGGTCAGAAAAATTATTACCTTTCCTTGTCATTAGTTTTGTGAACTTTTCCCAATAATAAGCTGGACCAATCCCTTATGCAGAAGAGGATTTTAAAATCAATATTGGAAAAAGTCAGAGGCAAGTGAACAGTGTGGAAGAGCACACTACATGTTAAGTGGCACTCAGTACAACAGGAAATCCTCTAGATAAGGCTACAGGTTCACAGGGAGGACTACAGTAGGGGTAGTGGAGAAGGCACCTAGGAAGAATGGGCAGACAACTCATTCTGCCAGCAACCATGCAAGATCCATCTCAGGGTCCAACCCTCCCGGAGGGCTAGGAGGATGTGCTGTGATCCACACACTGCCACACCACCAGGCCCTTCAGCACCCCACACAGCAGGCTGCCAACTAGCCACCTCCTTCAATCTTTCCATGTGGACAACTCAGGAGAGGAAAGAAGAATTTCCCTGCTTTTGTAAGGTTCTTCTCTCCATCTTTCTCCTCTTATTTAAATCTTCCAGAATATAGTTTTGAAAATATAGTTTTACCTCCACTAAAAGCACTGCCCAACCATACCAACCAAAAGGGAGCCCCCTTCTTTAGAAGCGATGGTCATAGCATCTGCTCAGCATTTAGTTGACTGCCTTGGGTCTCTGTTAACTTATGGAACAATGCCAAGCACCATCTTCCCTTCTCCTCCTTTGTACTGAGTACTGAATATGATTGTGCACCTTCAACATCATCTTCTGTAGCACCTCCTATAGGAGATGCATTTCCAAGAGCATCAAGCAGTAGAAGCCAACTCCACCTAACTTAAGCAAAGGAGAGTTAATTGGCAGGTCATCAGTGGACGATCCAAACCTCAAGAAGGCAGGAGGACCAGACAGAAACCAATGGTACACTGAAAGTGTAGAAGACGGCAAAAGACACAACCTCATAGCATGAAGGGGCTGATCGCAACACCTGGGAGACAACGAGGAACTCCCATCCTGGCCTCCCATCATTCCTCTGTACTCACTCAGAACTGAAGGTCCTCAGGCATGAGGTGCAGGCTGGCTGAGCTTGCACTGTGCCCAGATTCAGCTTCCATGGAGGAATTACAGTCCCACCAAGTCTACACACAGCAGGAAACAGGAACACTCCCAGAAGGAAACTGGAACACCAGTTGCATGGAGAAATGAATGCTGAGCATTCAGAAAATGAGAATGCCCATGAAAGCAGTTAAATGTTTTTAAAATGAAGGAAGTAACTTACGTCACAATTCCCTAAGAATTCTGGCTCAGAAAAGGAGATTATTATCCATCTAGAGACCTGGGGTGGGGCGGGGAATCAAATTCTTCCCCAAGGGACAGTCCTGAGAAAGCGGCGCTCAACCTCCTTTGCAGGAGGAAGAATGGGAAGCCATGAATCCTCTTTCACTGTAATTAATACATTCCAGGTGAGAACGAAGAGACAGCAGACCTGTAAGTTGTGATCTTCCATCTCTAGAGGTGGCCAACTTTTCCTGCTCATGCCATACTGATTAACCCTTCATCTCCAGGATAGGGGTCCTTCTAACTTGGTTGTCAGGCTACCTGCAGAGGAGTAACAACCGATCTGCCTCTCAGAGACTGACTCTAAGAGCCTCTGAAGGCATGCCCTGGCCCCAGTTTTTCACTGTATCAACTGATTCCTCACCAGGATGCCACGGGGTTCTAAAAGCACAAGTCAGATCACTCCCATCCTTACAAACTTCAGCAACCACTGACTGTTTCAGGATCACTGTGGGCTACTTTGAGGGTTAACTTCTCAGCACATCCAAGGCCTTCTAAAATCTGGCTTCAAAGCTCACTCTTCTCACTGGATCTGATCACCTCCTCAACACCCGCCTGTCTCAGCGCAGCTGCCCCTCATCCTTTAAGGCTGAGGTTAAATGCCCTCTCTGATCTACCAGCTCTGATCCACCAGCAGCTTACACATTTGCATTTCCAAATCTTTTCCTCAATTTAACAACTACTGTAACCAAACTGGCCTTTTTCAAAGCGCAAGTCAGTGCTTGTCTTCTCCACAGACTAAAACTTCCTGAGGGCTAGGATCCTACATTGTTTGTATTTCCCAGAGGGCCTGGTTCAACGTGCATTTATGTGCCCACTGCATACTTCAAACATTTGTGTAGTCATCAAATTAGTAAGCTAAGGCCTGTGCCCAGCCAGCATGTCTGCCTTCCCCTCCCAGGAGAGCACAATCCCAAATGATGCTCTCACATCATGTTCAACCCCCTTCTAGGTCACACCGTGTGTACCAGGCTACCCACCTAAAGTAGGGCAAGGCTGTTCCTCGTCTCAAACCTCCAGCAGATGTTATTAGATGCCGCCCACAGCCATGCTTCCCTCCCCCAACTTCCTTGCTGTCAGTTCTAATTCTGGCTGGATGCGCAACCTCCCTAATGTGACTAGAAAAGAGCCCTAGCTGCAGCCAGTGGAGCCCTCTGTATCCCCTCTGCTGAGGACTGGCTTAGCCATGGGCACCTGGTACAATTCAAGTCAGTGTGATGTAAGAGGAATTCTGCCAGGAGCTTCTAGGAAAGTTATCCTTGTGATAGAGACATAAGGGCCGGCATAGCCTCTCTGCTTCTACTGAGGGTTTTACCATCTGCATGGGACTTGTGGGGCAGTAACAGCCTTCATTAACCATGGGGACAGCCTCCCTAGGATGCACTGGCACACTGTGGATGGCAGAGTGGCAGGAAGAGAAGCACCACGTCTATGATGATGCTAGTGAGCCACTGAATTAGTCAACCCTGGGGGCACTTTGAGACTTCTCATGTTGCAAAATAAATGCTGCACTTAAGCAAAAATATCCTAATAGCCACCCATCACTTAAATGTATTAATGACAATAACAATAGTGCACTCCCACAGTCTGCTGGCATGTGCTAAGTCCTGGACAAATACTATCTCCTCTGATTCCCTGGGCAGTCCTGTGTGTGAGCATCATGATCTTCGAGCAAGGCTCACAGACAGGGTGTCTAGGATTTGCACCCAGCCTACCTAACTCTAAAGATGATGCCCTCCCTGTCATATATTACATGGCTCCAGGCCTCTAGTCCTCTCTCCTCACACCCTCCCGAAACACATACCACTGCAGCCCTGACATCTGTGAAGTTTCAGAGCTGAATGAGACTGTCAAGTGATCTAGTCCCTTACTGTATAGACCTGAGGCCACAGAGACTGAAAAAACATGCCAAAGGCAGCAAAGCAAATCACTGACAGAGCCAGGGCTGGGAGAACCCAAGTTCCTGGCTCCCAAAAGACCCTTTTCCACAGAGGTGAAGCCAAGCACATTCCAGGGGCAGCCTGAGCCAGCAGGGCTTCAGACTAACCAGGTGCCAGGGCCCACCCCCTCTTTCCCCGGGTGCTGCCCAGCTCAGAAGGCTAGTTCAGGGAAAATCTGCACTCACCAGCCGGACTGACTTCTGCTCCTCATGGCTGATGCTGCCTTCACCCACGGGCACGGATGCCTTGGAGTGCTTGGTGGCAGCCTCTCTTTCCGTCTTTGCCACCTGGAAGAGCTTATCCTGGACAGCAGCATGCTCCTGTTCACACCTGTGCAGAAGAAAGATGAGGAGAAACAGATGCAGATGACATGACGGGCAGCCAATAGCCAAGACAAGGTCTGCGCACTCACTTCAGCTGCCAGGGAAACGCTGAAACCAGCCAGCGGCCGGCCAGGAAAGGAGAGAATGCTGTAAAACCACACGCCCCATCATTCCACGCCTGAGCTCAGGCATCACTGACAGCTCCCCAGACAAGGGGAGACAATGACACTGAGCCAGGACAACACAGCTCAGGAACAGGAGGAGACCTGGCCAAGTAGGCAGCCCCATGCCCAGTGAGAGTCTCAGGGAGGGGCTCAATCCACGGATTGCCTCCACTTGAGAGCTTGAAGATTGGAGATGGTAGTAGTCCTCTGTTTTGAACATTTAACTCTTCATTCTGAATATGTTCCTACCCTTTGACCTATTTCTGGGCATTCTGCCTAGTAAAATAATCCTATAGAGAAGAAAAAAGTTATTAGTGCTGAGATGCTCTTAACAGTATTATTTATTATAGTGAAAAAAATGCAAGCAACCTAAATGTCCCAAAATCAAGGTCAAGCTAAAGTAAATATGGTGTGATCATATAATGATCTATGACATCACCACTAGAAAATATAGTCTTTCATTTGTCTGTAGGTTGAATCTAAAAACTGAGAACCAATAAATGCTTTTAGTAATAAAACTGCTTATAAAGCAGGTGAAACTAATGACAAATCATTATAATACAAAGTGAAAATAGCAAGATATGAAATTATCTATGACTTTCAAAAAATAACCCTAAACAGTGGGTAGGGGATTCTGGGTGGAGAAGAACATGAAATACTCCAAAATATTAATAGTGGTTGTCTTGAGATGATGAGTCTACGGGTGATTTTTTCACTTGATAAATTTTTAAATCTTTCATTAGCATGTATTACTTCACCATTCTGAAAATGTTTAAAAGTACCAAAAAAGCGGGGTTCAGGTTAGTAGTTGGCTTTTTTTCTTTTTTTTTTTTTTTTTGGTTTTGGGTCTCATAATGTGGCCCAGGCTGGAGTGTAGTAGTGCAATCATAACTCACTATAAACTCCAACTTCTGGGCTCAAGCAATCTTCCCACCTCAGCCTCTTGAGCAGCTGAGACTACAGACGTGTGTTACCCCCAGTTAATGTTTTTAATTTTTTTTGTAGAGACAGGGTCTCACTATGTTGCTCAGGCTGGGCTCAAACTCCTGACTTCAAGCAATCCTCCTGCTTTAGCCTCCTAAATTCGCTGGGATTATAGGATTGAGCCACCACACCTGGCCAGGTCAGTTATTCTTGCTGAGACCTATTAGGGAGAGTGAATCTTAGAATGTGGGTCTTAACCTATGACTATGCAACAGACCCAACATGGCTGAACTACTAGAAGGCAAACGCCCAACCATGGCTGACACTGGGCCCCCTAAGCTGACCCACTGGGTCCTCTGACCATACTGAGGGCAATTGCCTCAAGGATGCTGAAGAGGCCAATCAGTAACAACTACTGTGAGGGTCCACTGAGAACTCTGTAGGACAGGTACTATGCTCATGTGCATGATATGCAGTAACATATTTAACCATGACAGGAGCCCAGTTAAAGAAGTACTCTTCTTAGATGCAGTGCTTTTTCAAGTTCACATAACTAGCAAGTTGCAGGATCAAGATGCCACCCTGTGCTCCACTGGGGCCTCTGTGCCTTAACCACTTTGCTAAAACTTCTCTGGCAACAGGCCCCATGTCAGAGGCGTGGCCAGGTCCTGGTGTTGTGGCCTGTGCTGACAAAATCACCAACATCCTGAAGCCAGTTCATCTGGACAACCACAGCTAGCACTGGGAGGGCTCCACTTCCTCATCTCTTTGAAAACATGCCTGCATGTGCACACACATGCAGAAGTTCCAGCCACTCAACTGTTTAGTTATAGCTTTTTTAATTTTTTTTTTTTTTTTCCAGAGACAGGGTCACCCAGGCTGGAGTTCAGTGGTGCAATCATTGCTCCCTGCAGCCTCGGCTTCCTGGACTCAAGTGATTCTTCCACCTCAGCCTCCCAAATAACTGGGACTACACAGGCACACACCACAACACCCAGCTAGTTTTTTTATCTTTTAGAAACAGGGTCTTGCTATGTTGCCCAGGCTGGTCTCAAACTCCTGGCCTCAAGCAATCCTCCTGCCTTGGCCTCTCAAACTGCTGGGCATGAGGAACATTAATGATCAATTCCCCTATGCCCCTTTTGGTGTTTCTACATCTTTAAACTAGAACCAGTAACACCTATACCATAGGGTTGTCCTTCAGTGCAACTGAGATTAATTATGTGAGACAAACCCTCCAGGGCTTCAGGCAAGGAGAGGGGTATCCAGTGAGGAAAGAGGCTTTTAGGTGGAGCGCAGTGCCGGGAGCAAGCAGGCTCTCGGGCTCACCTCTTGACATCCTCCTTTGCCCCTGAGATCTGCTGGCCACCACTGCTCCCCGATCTGGGCAGTGTGGATTCTGCAAAGGAAAGAGAAGAAAAGGCCTGTCAGTGGCACCCCAGGGTCCATGAAGGCATGGAGGTCACCCAGAGAGGAAGGACTCCCATGAATGAATGTGCCCCTGGGAAGGCAGCACTACAGATGAGCCCCCACAAAGGAGTGTTCACAGGGGCATTCAAGGAACACTCTTGATTCAAGCTGTCTGGAAAGCCAGATGATCCAAGCCACCTCTTATCCCGAAGGGGTCTCTGCACCAGGATGCCCACAACACTGGGTGCAGTGTTCCAAACCCATCCCTACCCTCCTGACAATTATTTGGAATCCAGGTCATCTCCTAAGCACAGGCCAGGAGTGGCTGCACGAAGTCATTGCTTTGCTTCATGAGGACAACCTCCCAGGTAGAGGTTTTGGCATAGGGAAGGGAAGGGGTGGGGGCTCTTTAAATCTTGTTTCCCTTAGTACCCACCTGAGTCTGCACAATCCCCAGTGTGGCAAATGCCACATATTAAACCTAATTCTACTTAACCCCTATCGCCCCTAGTATTACTGGGCTCTTTCTGTTGTTACAGTAGGTCCCTTTTGATCATCACGGATTTGGGGATTTCTGAGCAAATCTAATTCACTCTCCCCACCACTTGCTGATACTGAAGGTTTTGTTACTACGCCGTCCCCAGCCTTCACCCTTCCAAAACTCTCTGTTAGCCAAAGCTCACCACCTTTCTTGGCCTTCTCCGATGTCCCACACCTCCCTCCACCACAGGGTTCTATGCACCAGCAGCCAGAACCACACAGAACATAGCGTAAGAACCAGGCTGTGGGAGATGCTCAATAAAGGTGTGCGACTCCAACTCCAGACCCATCAGGGACACCTCAGGGGGCACTTCTGAAAGCATCAGCTGTGACTCACACTTTCAAACCACCTCTCATGGGAGGAGAGCACTTCCCATGCTCCTCAGCAACACACCAGGTTCTCAACTGAGGTGAATGCAGGAGGCTGCTGTGGGGTTTCATCTCCACACCAGTGCTCCCCACGCTTACTTATTTGCCTGAAGAGTTTTACTGAGGTTTAATGCCTGGTATTGCTGTTTTTTATATAATTTTCCATTTTTTAACTACAAAAATAACAGGCCTGCCGATGTAGGGCATGTGGCACTCATCCTCACTGCCCCTTCTGTGTGCCCCTGCCCGATCCCCGCTCCCTGGGAGTGCACAGTGTTGAATATGCGTTTCTTCCAGTATTAGTGACATGGAGATCTTGTCATGAGCATGGCCACCTGTGCACATTTCCTACTGAGCTGTCTTCCTTAAGGATCTTTAAGAACTCGCTACATATTAAGATTACTATGACTCTGTCCAATGTTATATTTTCTCTAACTTATCCATTCCTGTTACTTCTTTTCTAAACTGTCTAATTTCTTATATTCACATTTCCTATTTTTTTAATTTAAGGTTTCTTCATTTAATATGATGTGCAGAAAATCTATCTTTTATTGTACTTTTATGGCTTCAAGCCATACATTTCAATCTTTTATTTCCTCTGACATTTTTGGGGGGTATGGTATGAGAAGAATTTTAACTTCTTTTTCTAACTTCGTTCCATTACTAAAATAAAGCAAAAACTGGTTTTAAAAGTACAAAATATCTTAAAATTAGTTAACTTCAAGACAGTCATTTTGACTCTTCAACATTCAGAAACAAAACTCACATCTATCATTTAAACAGCAAAGTATTTTGTTATAACTAACTCCAAGTGACAAAGAACTACTATTCTTGCTTTCCAAACTGCCAAAACTTACCAAACTGAAGCAAATGCTTATTTCTTCTAAAGCTGAAACTGATGTGTAGTATTATATATTATGGCAATTTTCACTTTTATCATCACTTTCTCCCTCTTTTGAGTTAATCCAGTTTGTTAAAGTGCATTGGGTCAAGTTAGACCCCTCTCAAGCCCTTCTCATCAGTTAGAGCCACGTAGGGAGTAAGTGAGCCCTATTGGCAAAGGAGAAGGGCTTCTTGGGGGGTTTTCGGGAATCTTACACATCCCCCACAGTGGTAGATATTCAGAAAGATCTTGGGGTGGGTCCAAATCCAGGTGCTCACTGGCTCCCAGGCAGACAGCACAGGGGTGGAGGTGTCGGGACACCTGGCAGGCATCCCCTTGAAGATGAAGCCAGAGTTCTCTGGCCACCATGGGGAGGTCTCCATGGCCTGGCTCCCGAGTGCCACTCCAACATCTCCCCCTCCCTTGTACCTTGTATTCCAGAGACAGCAATGCTTCTAGGCCCCTGAGCAGGCTGGGATGCACCCTGCCTGCAGACCTCTGCTCCCGCTGTCTGCCCACCCGCAGTGCCCACCCACCACCATTCCTCTTGCCTTTCACAGTCCCTCCTCTCCCGGGACAGATTCCAGTGTTGCATCACAACACGACATCTGGGCTGACATCTGGCTGACATCAGGGCTGACATCTGGCTCTATAATCAGAGCCAGCTGTGCCATGAGAGAGGGTCCCTGCCCACCTATCACTGTGTCCTGGCACAGGGCACAGGACCTGGTTCTGGGTGGCCTTCAGTAAACACTAAGTGGGCAGGATACAGCTCTCATCTTCTAAATTCTTACAACCCAACAGGGAAGATGAGTAGAAAAGGCAACTGTAACGCAAGACCAGGCCCGAGACGAACAATCTAGTGCGTGGTTCTCCATGTAAACAGTCGGTCCTTCCGTGGTGGCATGGTGCCTCCAGCCAATCTTTTTTTTTTTTAATCGGGTTACTGAGTCTGGTAGACAGACCCAAGTTCTCAAAAACAAGTATGTTTTGAGCAGTTGCTCCAAGGACTTTATTTTGTAATATTTTAACATTTGTATGCCTTACAAATTTTTTTCTTAAAATTTTATTTCCTTGTGTTTGCTACAAGTTGTTAATTGGGGAAAGCACAAATTTCTTCATCTGCAACAGGTACAATAGAGTAGGGAACAAATCAGCTTTCAGCTTGGCTTGAGCACCAGCTTCACAGTCGGCCAGGAAGAGGAACTCCTAGGTCCTAGAAGCCCAGAGGAACCATTCCAAGGGCCAAGACAGGAGCTCTCAACCTGAGGCTCAGGTGAGGGCTGCTGTGGCAGGCGCCTAAGTCACTGACGGAATTCTCCCACATTTGGTCCCATTCACGTGAATCCACATCATTCTTTGATTTGGGAGTTAGGCTAGAGTGGCTGAAGCTGCGTCATGGCTATGCTGCCTCTGAGGGCCCTTAAAGGCAACTTCTTTCCTGAGCTGTCAACTCAGGTCCTTCTGCCTCAATTTCCACATGGAGAAAGTGACACAGAGGGAAGGTGGTCTGGCCCGAATCCTGGCAGCTCTGACGACAGCGCCTGTCACTCCCAGAAAGCCATGCTCTTCCGGAAAGCCCTTACCAGACAGAGCTGCTTAACGTCATCCCGAAGCCAACCTGAGCTCCACGCGCCGTCGGGTGGGCTCGGGTGAGCACCCATCACTCCTTTCACTGTCTCTCCACACTCCACAGAACTGTCACAACCCCCATACCTTTGTGAGGGGCTCTCAAGTTGCCATCTTGAAGGCCCAAGGTAGAAGGTGCAGGAGCAGGGGGTGGAGAGCTGGGCTCCTTCATGCGGTTCACCACGTTTTCAGACAGCTAAGGAAGCAGAAAGGAGGGACAAGAAAAAGTTATGTCACAAAAGTGTCTGGAAGCAAAGCCTCCTCTTTATTCAGGTCCCAGAATTAACTGAATGCGCTGCTTCCTCAAGACCAACTCCAACAAAGCAATTCTACTAAAACTCCTCTCGTGGTGGCCCAGTGCCTACCAGGTCCACGCCAAGCCCATCTGGACTCCCAAGCCTACCAATGTATGCCCCCTGCTGGCTTTGCAGCTTCAGCCCCACCACTCCCCTCCACACACCCAGTCCTCAGGGGAACCTGATGTATCACTTTTCTCACCTCCTCTGAATTCAGGCATGCTCTTCCCTCTGAACCACCTCCCGCCACCTCCCTGTCTGGGACATCTCCACCTGTCCAAATCATACCCTTTCTTTGGAGGTATCTCAATGTCCCCTTCTCCAGGGAAGGCTGCCCCTCAACAGCATCCAAATGAAGCACAAGTACCTCTGTCCATCGCATTTCTCTTTATTCCACTTTGCAGATAACACATTTTTTTTTTTTACAAGTTGAAGGTTTGTGGCAAGCCTGCATCAGGCAAGTCTACCGGTGCTGTCTTTCCAACAGCATGTACTTTGTGTCTCTGTGTCATGTTTTGATAATTCTCACGATACTTGAAGCTTTTTCATTGTTACTGTATTTGTCATGGTGATCTGTGATCAGTGATGTTTCATATTATTCCTGTAATTGTTTTGGGACACTGAGAACATTGTCCATGTAAGATGGCGAACTTAACCAATAAATGCTGCTGTGTTCTGACTGCTCCAGTGACCAGCCATTCCCCCACCCTCATCTCTCTCCCTCTCCTTGGGCCTCCCTATCCCCTGAGACACAAGAAAATTAGGCCAGTTAATAATCCTGCAATGGCCTCTAAGTGTTCAAATGAAAGGAAGAGTCACATATCTCTCACTTTAAATCAAAAGCTACAAATGATTAAGCTTAGTGAGGAAGATATGTCGAAAGCTAAGACAGGCCGAGAGCTAGGCCTGTTGCACCTAACAGTTAGCCAAGTTGTGAATGCAAAGGAAAAGTTGTTGAAAGAAGTTACACATGCTACTCCTGTGAACATATGAATGGTAAGAAAGTGAAACGGACTCACTGCTGACGTGGAGAAAGTTTTAGTGGTCTAGATAGAAGATCAAACCAGCCACAGTACTCCCTTAAGCAAAAGCCTAATTGAGCCTAAGGCTCTATCTCTTTTCAATTCAGTCAAGACAGAGGTGAGGAAGGTGTAGAAGAAAAGACTGAAGTGAGCTGAGGTTAGTTCACAAGACTTAAGTAAAGACGGCGTCTCCATAACATAAAAGTGCAAGGTGAAGCAGCAAGTGCTAATGGAAAAGCTGCAGCAAGTTATGCAGAAGATCTAGGTAAGATCATTGATGAAGGTGGCGATACTAAACAGAACAGTCTTTTACTGGGAAAAGATGCCATCTAAGACTTTCATAGCTAGAAAGGAGAAATCAATGCCTGGCTTCAAACCTTCAAAGGACAGGCTGACTCTCTTTTTAGGGGCTAATGCAGCTGGTGACTTTAAATGGAAGCCAACGCTCATTTAGCATTCTGAAAACTCTAGGGCCTTTAAGAATGACACTCAACCTACTCTGCCAGTGTTCTAGAAATGGAACAACAGAGTCTAGATGACAGAACATCTGTTTACAACATGCTTTACTGAATACTTTAAGCCCACTGTTGAGACCTACTGCTCAGGAAAAAAGAATCCATTCAAAATATTACTGTTCATTGACAATGCACCTCGTCACCCAAAAGCTCTGATGGAGATGTACAAGATGAATGTTGTTTTCATGCCTCCTAACACAGCATCCATTCTGCAGCCCATGAATCAAGGAGTAATTATGACTTTCAAGTCTTATTATTTAAGAAATTCATTTCATAAGCTTAGAGCTGCCATAGATAGTGACTCTTCTGATGGACCTGGTAAAAGTAAATTGAGAACTCTGAGGAAAGTACTCACCATTCTGATGCCATTAAGAACATTAATGATTCATGGGAAGAGGTCAAAAAATCAATATTAATAGGAGTTTAAAAGAAGTAGATTCCAACCCTCACGGATGACTCTGAGGGGTTCAAGACTTCAATGGAGAAGTCACTGCAGATGTTGTGGAAACAGCAAGAAAAGTAGAATTAGAAGTGGAGCCTGAGGATGTGACTGAATTGCCGCAATCCCATGATCAAATTTGAACAGATGAGGAGTTGCTTCTTATGGATGAGGAAAGAAAGTGGTTTCTTGAGATGGAATCTGCTCCTGGTGAAGATGCTGCGAACACTGTTGAAATGACAACAAAGGATTTAGAATAGGATCACAAACTTAGTTGACAGAGTTGAGCAGCAGGGTTTTAGAGAACTGACTCCAGTTTTGAAAGCAGTTCCACTGTGGGTTAAATGCTATCAAATAGCATCGTATGCTATAGAGAAATCTTTTGTGAGAGGAAGAGCTGATCGACATGGCAAACTCATTGTTGTCTTATTGTATAAAACCTCCACAGTCAACCCCACCTTCGGCAACCACCATACAGATCAGTCAGCAGCCATCAACACGTAGGCAAGACCCCCCACTAGCAAAAAGATTATGACTCGCTAAAGGCTCAGATGATCATTAGCATATTTTGCCAATAAAGTATTTCTAATTAAGGTATATACACTTTTTAGGCATAATGTTAGTCTACACTTGAGACTACAGTATAGTGTAAACGCAACTCTTACATACAACTAGGAAACCAAAAAGTTCCTGATTTGCTTTATTTTGACATCCGCTGTACTGTGGTATCTGGAGCCATGCCTGCACCACCTCTGAGGTGTGCCAGTACCACCTATTCCCTTCCTCTGAGCCCCCCGACAACACACATGTGCTTCTCAGAGAAGTACTTACACCTCCCGCCTGCCTCTCCCGCCTGCCTATCCTGATGGTTTTTAAATACCTTGAGGGCTAAGCCTGCATCTCACTTATCTCTGTACACCTCCAGGGCCACACATACAGTAAATAATCAAAATACTGCTTGACTAATTTCACCTCAGTTCCCCTAATGAAGACTGGGTAACCAAAACTCTCATTCATTTTAGAGGATGTGAAATAGGCCTAAGGGTGTCATAAAACAGTTTACTAAAATGAAACAGCAAGCTGGGGATCAATCCAGGATAAAAATCCTTAAGCATTCACTTTAGTAAATATTTATTAAGTGCCTAATATGTGCAAGGCATCATAAAGCACAGCTGAGGGAAAGACGTTAAAAATTACTGTAAGACAAAAGACATGATCAGCAACACCACTTCCAGAATATCTCACTGAGAAAAGTACTCCCCCATGTACACAGAGGCATGTGGAAGGACACTCACTGTGACACTGGAGGAAATAGGGAAAAAAGAAAAGGAAACCACATAAACATCCAATGATAGAGAACTGATTGAGGAAATCCTGGCGTATACACCCTATGGAATTTTATGGACCCATTAAGAAAGAACAAGGTAGAATACATATACACTGTCATGGAAGACACACGAGATACACTGCTGATTGTTTAAAAAGTCGTAGAATTTTTTGTACATCTCAATTTTGTAAAAAAAATGCAGACATACAAATATAAATGTTGCTGAATTTGAATATATGTGTATCCACATACCCACAAGTGTGAATTGCATTTGGATTTCACATGCATGCACGTAAGACACATATACAGGTCTGCTCTGGGAGAAATCTACAAAACTGCTTAGCAAAGCACTCAGAGGATGAGGTCCTGCAAGTGGGGACAGGAGCAACTGCAGCAGGATTTTCACTTTTGGTACTTTTGTGTCTTAATTTTTTACCATGAATATTTCCTTAGTAACCAAAGATTGTAATAATAACAATAATAACAAAGTCCCTGTAGTATTTAAGATATATACAAATCAAATAGCTAGTTAATGACATATGACAAGAGAAGACCAAACGTATCAATGGAAGGGAATAGGAGTCCATAAAGAAACCTTTACCTCTTGGTCAATTGATTTCAACAAGGGTGCCAAGACAGTTCAGTGGGGAAAGAGCAGTCTCTTCAACCAGTGATGCTGGGATAATTGGATATCCCTTGCAAAATAATATAGTTGCACACCTACCTTACACCATATACAAAAATCAATACAAAACAGATCTGAGACCTAAATGTTAAGAGCTAAAACTATAAAATTCTTATTAGAAAACAGAGGGCTATGGGAAGCGGAGCTTGCAGTGAGCTGAGATCTGGCCACTGCACTCCAGCCTGGGCGACAGAAAAAAAAAAAAAAGAAAAGAAACCAGAGGGCTAAATCATTATGACCTTTGCTTTGGCAATACATTCTTAGAGGTGACACCAAAAGCATGAGCAATGAAAAAATAAATAACTGGACTTTTTCAAAATTTTAAAGTTTTGAGTACCAAATGACACCATAGGGCAACTGAAAAGACAACCCACAGAATGGGAGAAAATATTTACAAATCACATACCTGATAAGGAACTTTTATCTAAAATATATAAACACCTCCCAGAATTGAATAATAAAATGAAAAATAATCCTATTTAAAAATAGGCAAAGGATCTATATAGAAATTTTTCCAAAGAAGATATACAAATGGTCAATAAGCACATGAAAAGATGCTCAACATCATTAGTCTCTAGAGAAACACGGGTTTAAACCACAATAAGGCACCACATCACACCCACGAGGATGGCTATAATTAAAAGATCAACTTGTAAGGGTCAGCCATAGTGGCTGAATCCTACCATTGTGTAATCCTACCATTGTGGAGGGCCGAGGCAAGAGGATCACTTGAGACCAGGAGTTTGAGACCAGCCTGGGCAACACAGTGAGGCCCTTTCTCTAAAAAAATTTTTTTTTAAATTAGCCAGGTGTGGTGCCATGTGCCTGCAGTCGTAGCTTCTTGGGAGGCTGAGGCAAAAGGATCGCTTGAGCCTAGGAAGTCATGGTTACAGCAAGCTATGACTGCACCAC